GGGTTGGCGTTGGTGGCGGGTTGGCGTTGGTGGTGGGGATTGGCGTTGGTGGCGGGGATTGGCATTGATGGCGGGATCTGGTGTTGGTGGCGGGGACTGGTGTTGGTGGCGGGGTCTGGCGTTCGTGACAGGGACTGGCGTTGGTGGCGGGGTCTGGTGTTCGTGGCGGGGACTGGCGTTGGTGCCGGGGGTTGGCGTTGGTGGCGGGTATTGGCGTTGGTGGCGGGGATTGGCGTTTATTGGGGGGACTGGCGTTGGTGGCGGGGATTGGCGTTGGTGGCGGGGTCTGGCGTTGGTGGCGGGGATTGGCGTTTATTGGCGGGGACTGGCGTTGGTGGCGGGGATTGGCGTTGGTGGCGGGGTCTGGCGTTGGTGGCGGGGACTGGCGTTGGTGGCGGGGACTGGCGTTGGTGGCGGGGACTGGCGTTGGTGGCGGGGACAGGCGTTGGTGGCGGGGTCTGGTGTTGGTGGCAGGGTCTGGCGTTCGTGGCAGGGACTGGCGTTGGTGGCGGGGATTGGCGTTGGTGGCGGAGATTGGCGTTATTGCCGGGTATTGGCGTTGGTGGCGGGGATTGGCGTTTATTGGCGGGGACTGGCGTTGGTGGCGGGGACTGGCGTTGATATGTGGCGTTGATAATTATGGTCCGGCATTGATAAGTGTGGTATCCTGACCACTGAAGAATGACCTCTGAGTACTGACCACTGAGTACCGAGGAATGACTTCTGAGTACTGACCACTGAGTACCGAGGAATGACCTCTGAGTACTGACCACTGAGTACCGAGGAATGACTTCTGAGTACTGACCACTGAGTACCGAGGAATGAACTCTGAGGTCAGATTAGAACCTAATTTAACTGCTTTTCCACCACTGATTTTTACACAAACTCGTCACGTTCTCCCTCATATTTGCATATTAATATATAAATTTTAAATAAATATTTATTTCTAGTCAAAAACTAAAAAAAATACATCAATTAACGTAAACAATGCCTTTTATTGCCCCATATATATATATCTATATATATATATATATATATATATATATATATATATATATATATATATATATATATATATATATATATATACAAACACTGATCTCTGGCTGAAGGAGAGTCGAACCTACGAACCTTGGAACAAAGTTCGCAGTGCTTAACCAATCACCACACTGACCAATACCTTGGAGTCAGCTTGTTCTAGACTTTGATCCAAGAGCAGCTTTCAAGAGAAGGCTTACAGCATTTCATCTCATCCCTGCATGCATCGGGCCTACAGAGAGTAACCAGGCAAGCTGAGACTCCAAGTATGTCCCAGTGTGGTAGATTGGTATGCACGGTACCTGTTAGGTACTAGGTTCGATACTCCTAGCCAGAGATCAGTAGTTAGTTAGTTTTCAGCCTGATTACACTGCAGTTCCTATAGCATATATATATAATTTATAATATAATATTTATTATAAAATATAAATATAAATAATAATTTAATGTAACACAATGCCTTTGAAGATAATATTTTTTTTACATAGTGGTATAGTTGTTAAGAGTTTGTAACATAGTTATGAGTAGTAATTTATTATCCCTGATCTTGCCTGATTAGTAAGTCGATACCTCGAACCTTGGATCAAAGTCGCAGTGTTTCCAATTTTCCAAGCACTGAACCAATACTTAGTTCAGTTGTATAGCACGTTGCGAAGTAGAGTAGTGTGTAGTAGTAGTAGTTACACCCTGTGTAGTATATCACTGCATAGTATCAGTATAGCAGTAGATAGTTATATCAGCAGTAGTAGTATAAGTAGTAGTAGTGGTAGATTGTATACATGCAGTAGCTTAGTAAGGTTCGTAGTTCATGCAGATTGTGTAGTATACGCAGCTTGTAGAATACTAGCAGATATAGTAGTAGTATCATATATGCTAGTAATTATAGTATATATATTACATATTAGTATATATATTATATAACACAGAGCTAGTCACATAGAGTAGTAATATAGTATTACTAAGTATAGATAGTAGTTGCAGTAGTAGTAATAAGTATGAGTAATAGTAGTCTGTTTAGTAGTAGTAGTAGTATGATACAAGTAGTATCATTTGCAGCAGTGTAGTAGTCACTAGAGTATTAATATTAGTAGTAGCAGTAGTAGTAGCAGAAGTAGTAGTAGTAGTAGTAGACAGTAGTAGCTAGACAGCAGCAGTAGTAGTAGTAGTAGAGCAGTAGTAGTAGTAGTAGCAGTAGTAGTATAGTCAGTAGTAGTAGTAGTAGTAGTTAGTAGTAGTAGTAGTAGCAGTAGTAGTAGTAGTAGCAGCAGTAGTAGTAGTAGTAGCAGATAGTATAGTCAGTAGCAGCAGTAGTAGCAGTAGTAAGTAGTATAGAGTAGTAGTAGAGTAGTAGTAGTAGTAGTAGTAGTGTAGTAGATATTAGTAGCAGTAGTAGTAGTAGTAGAGTAGAGTAGCAGTAGTAGTAGCAGTTAGTAGTATTAGTAGTATACCAGTATAGAGTAGT